TTCTAAACGTTGGAGGCAGACAGGGCGCTGCCGTTATAACACGTAAGAAAGGCTTCAGGGGAACGTCGACGACAGTGGGAGCTTACAGAAGGGAAATTGGAAATTTTCTTTACTCAGAGGGAAAGCGCAGGAGCTAGTTGATGAGGCCGGAAGTTACCAACTCGACATAATTTGACCCTGTTCAAGACTCTGGGTTTCTGAACATCAGCTGGTAGAAGCTCGATGTCGACGTCACGTCGCGCGCTCAGGCCAGTGTGGATGTTCTGGTAGAATCTAACCGGGCTAATAGAATCATTGAACGGAAGCCTGTCAACGGAAAGGTGGCAATCCTCCGACATCAGCCACAAGAGGCTAAAGCGTTGACCTTTTTGCGGGTCTATGCGCCAAATTTGAACGGAGAAAATGAATCATTCCTTGAGGAAGTGGAATGTCTTTGTTTGAATTGACGACTTTACAGCTCTTATTGTGATGGACGGTTTTAATGCACACCTCAGAGCAGACACTGAAAAGTGGAAAGGCGTGATTTGAAAGAAGGGACTTGGTGACTTCAACAGTAACAACATGAAGTAGTTGCGGTTTTGTAGAAACAACGGAATGTCTGTAACGAACATTATCTTGCGTTGAAGTGTTCGAAGCTTGCGTGAGCATACCTAGCATGGTGAAGCTTGTGCACAGAAGTCTATAATCGATCGAAGAGTTGTATCATATAACTTAAAACACTCTGTCTTGGATGTTTGCGTTAAGAGAGGCTCAAAGCTGTCACCTGATCACCATCTTGCTGTTGGCATGCTGCCCTGTGAGAAGCCAAGTATCATGCGAAGATCTGGCTGCAGCAGCAACCAGAGAATCAAATGGGAAACACTATCTTCTGTGGACAAGAGAGCGAAATTTGCCAACAACATTGCACGACGGTTTGAACAGATCCCGGTGATGACAACTGATGTTGAAACTGAGTGGCAGCTTTTTAAGAGCAGATGCTGTCGATTTAACCGGATTTGCCTGCCGCCTGAAGGTCAGAAAAGATCTTCATGGTGAACACGAGGGGTACAACTGACAGTTAAAGAGAAGAAAACAGCGTTCAAAAATGGCTTGGAAAAAGAGAGCCTTATACTCGCGGAATGCAGGCAAGGCGGCAGCAAAAGCAGTGTCGAAAGCCTCAGCTCATCCCAGGGAAAAATTCGATGAGGTGTT